CTTTGTCTTGATCCTTTCAAAAGAAAATATGTGACCTATGACCTGGATGGAAATGTTAAACAGTATCACATAGAATTCCTGGGTGATCCCCACTCAAGAGCATGGATAAATGCAACATTTGTTGGATATTATAGTGTCACATTAAAGGTAGGTAAAGTAACACAAGAAGTTTGTACTTTTCTGCATTTGTTTTGACTTGGGGTCAATTTTTTATCTCTGATCCTAAAATATATAATTATTTACATTTGGATTTACATTAACAAAATAGTCTATGCTATGCTTTTAAGTTGAAACACATTTATATTTGAAGGTATGTTTTTTTCAAAGAAATTATGGTTATTAAGTAGCTGTGGGAATTTAATTTTTTAAGATGGCAATATAGTAAAAAAATCAACTGAAGAATTTACATAATTGACTTTTGAAACAGTTTTAATATTCTAATTTGATAATATAAAAATTCTCTTGAGAAGACTTAAATTGCAGCATCACAGGGAAAATTATTTATGGAGTACAACCAGCTTTTCAAATTTCAAACAAAATATTTCATTATGGTAACTCAATCAAGTATCTTTTTATTCTTTTTAAACTTAAATTCACACATTACAATTAATGAATAGATTGGATTCTCAGGTTGACAAAAATAGGTGAGCTAGACCTATTCCCAAGGATAAGTCGTAGTAAGTATAAACCAATTCAATTATCTGTATTTAAATTCTAGTATCGAAACTTTTCATCTGAAAATCATGCTACCATTAAAAACCTGTTTAAAAGTCAGTGCCATAAATACAGATACCTTTGATTCAGTTTTGAAGGTTTTTCCTTTATGAGAAAGGAAAAACATTATTTAGGTACATATCACTGTATATGTAGATAAATGAAATAACCAAATCCTAGTAAAATTAAATCTCTGACAATTTGAGGCACTTTAAAATAGCTTTTACTTTATCTTTGGCATACCCAGCATTTTGTATGATTTAGTTTGAAAGCAACCCAAAGGAAATACTGCTTGAGTAAAAACATGTAAATAACAGACCACAACATAGGTCCACTTCATGTTAGGTGTGTTCCAACAGTCTTAATGTGAAACACCTTGTCTCTCTGCATTTATGAGAAAATTAAACAGTTTTTAGTTTTATTTTATGAAAAGTATATATATATATTTCTTTTCCTGTTTAATCATGTTCATCTGGTTTTTAAACTTTTTGAGTAGTTAGTTCTGCCTGAAGACAGATCTGCTGACTTTATTTTCTTCCCAAGCACACGAAAATACTCAGTTACTGTCTTTGGGTACAGGTGATAGGTTTTTCTCCTCCATAAATAGCACCTTTACTGATACATTGAGATGTACCTCAAAGCGTTGGAAGCAATATTTACACTGTAGATTTGTAACTTGTACTAGTTTGTTCACATATTCTTATTAGTTGCTGTGAAGATTCTTGAAATCCACTCCTCAATTTTAAAGAAAACTTGACTCAATGTGTTCAGAGAGAAGACTGAGAGATGATGGCAGAACAGAAAACAAGAAACTGTTTCTCTGCTTAAACAATAATCATAGTGGGGAAATCTGTCTAATGTGGCTATCTTTGAGCTCTGGAACATATTACAGGCCTGCAGCTTCCAAGGGAGCTTTGGACTAGAGTTAATTTCAGTCAATTTCGGCTTTCATTATAGTAGCTGCTACCAGTCCCTCATCATATCCCCTTGGAAGGCAGCTGTTGCAGGAGTTCCTGGAGGATATTACACACAGCTCTCAGGAGCCAATTAAAGCATAAAGACCCCTGTCTTCCAAGCACTGGGAACATTTACTTTTTTTTTTTTTTTTTTTTTTTTTTGGCCTTTTTGAGACAGGGTCTCCCTGTAGCCCCAGCTGTCCTGGAACTCACTATGTAGACCAGGCTGGCCTTGAACTCACAGAGATCCACCTGCCTCTGCTGGGATTAAAGGCATGTGCCACCACGTCTGGCTACTTTTTTTAATATATAATTTATTGACACTTTAATACATGCATATAAGGTGTTTTGATCAAATCCATGCCCACTCCCTCCCCTCCAACTCCTCCCATATCTCCCCATCACTTTTTTTTCTGATAATTTCATGTACTTTCTTCTTTGATTTTTTTTTAATGGGGCTTTTGGCTATTCTAAGATTCTCCCCTCTGAAAGGGGTAACCCTAACATCTTTTAAGGATTAGATAAAAGCTCCCAATATTTTCGACATTTTTGGCCTTTGGAATGGAGTAGGTTGGTAAGAAGCCCAAGGACATTGTGAGTTTTAGCCAAGAAACTGGCTACTTTTCTTTGGGGTCTTTTTACCCTAACTGCCTAGCCAATTCCTACCTCCTATTCTTATCACACCATCCTCTGAAGAGGTTACCCAAATTGCCAATAGGGAATTGGGATGCAGACCACTCCGGCTTCTTCAATGCTGAACAGGGATGCAGGGTGAGGCAATTGGAGTACCCCTTCAGTGGGTCCATCTAAAAGACTCCCAAATTGTATAACTCTTATCTCAAAGAGGGAAAAGAAAGTCTTTGAATACTGAATAGGAGATGTGAAGAAGTAAAGGCAAGAGTCATTAGCACTACAAGTTCTAGACAGAGAAAAAAGTCAGAAGAGGGCAATTTTCAAATGTTCATATGAGAGTCCATTGGAGTTTCTTGACAAGGGCTTCTGAAACATCCCTCTATTGGGTTCCTCCTCATTTTTCCTTTGTCTTCCAAAGCTGGACTCTAGAGTGATGGATTCAGGATTTGCTTTCAGTTATTTTGGCAGCTGTTGGAGTGGTTAGAATCAGTGTCAGTTCCCTCTCAAAGGCTTCTAGATAGGGGGAGAAAACAAATTTATCCATTATTTTAGAACAATAGCTGGTTGTCTCCCTTAGCTACAGGTGGGCACTACAGTACTGGAGACCAAGATTTTAAGACTTACATCTGAGCAGCACTTTCTGGTTAAGAACAAAATCATCAATGAGAAATAATTGTCTAAATAACTTTTTATATAGACTTAAGCCTAATGCCTGGGAAGTATAATCCCCTGAACTCTTAAAGAAATATACTGATGACTTTACTCTTTGGTTATACTTTCCTTTTGGGTGTTTAAGACCATACAGTTGGCTCAAATAAATCAACTTATTTTTACACGTAAGGTCATTTGAGGATCTGTTCCTTGGGGGTTACATGGGCTTGGGAGGAGCTCCTGGCTCCTTTCTTTTACCAGTTCCATCTATGTGAAGATAAGTCAAAGGTCCTGCTCAACCATGGCTTGCTTCACTTGCAAATATGAATGAGTATTTCCTCTGAGTTGACTCTCCTCTTTGTAGGCTGGACACTGGTTCAAATCCAAGTCCATCTCCTGGGGTCTCCATGGCCTCCCTGAACAAGAGGACAGGTGACTCCCCACAGTTACAGGACATTTTGAGAGATGTTCCATAGTCTCCTGGAACTTAGTCGACCTTGGAGGACAAGGGGTAAAAACTGTCCTTTAAGTCCCTTTGACCACATTAGTATAGACCTCAAACTATGGTTGTTAAACATCCAATAATGTTAGTTCCACCAGTCCAATACTTTTAATTATCATGTGCTGTGTAGATAAGTCTTGGGTAAAAAAACCAAATATTCTCAGATAAACTTTGACTAGATATATATTTTGTTCCTTAAACTAGTTGACTAAAATATGACCACAGACATTTTTAAGATTATGTGTATATTATTTTTGTCTCATCCTTTATATATCATAACAAACCTACACAGATCTTCATCACTTGCTTAGGCTTTCTCATCTTTTCTATTTTGGAAAATATCTCCATTCCCATATCCTTTTAACATCTTTTACATTCTCATTTAACAAATTTTCCATCTGTTGTGAGACTTCTTTTCCTGGGGATGCTAAGCAATGCTTATTCCCTTTCAAGGTTCTAGCGTCAAGCCAATGTTTAATTAAAGTTTTCATGGGGAACCAATGAATTTATTGAGCTTACTTAACAAGACAACTGAGGGGTGGCTGAGGTATAAGTATGACCTGAGGGTATGCACACTGGAAAGCCTTTACCCAGAGTGAGTCATGCCTTTTCTTCCTAGCCTTCCCTAGAGTGTATACTTCAGCACTCCCCAAATCCAGGAGGCCATGTGTGATTAGGGTCAAATTACATTCAGTTAGCTAGGAAGAGTGGCTGGATCCCCCTGGTGAGGTTCCAGTGACCCTGCTTGGAGCTCCCTTAATGAATGAGCACAACCATCAACAAGCCCAATTGTCAAGGTGTTTAGAGCTCAGGCTCAGGTGAAGTCGTGATAGTGGTAGTTATTTCATGCAGAAGTGACTGCTGTATAGCATCATCTTATTAAAAGGACCTGGAATTTAAAAGGATTTGGTGCTAGGATCCATATATGGAGAATATATGCCGTTTGTTTTTCTGAGTCTGTGTTACTTCAGTTAGTATAATAGTTTCTAGATCCATCCATTTACCTGCAAATTTCATTATTTCATCTTTCCTTACTGCTGAATAAAATTTCTTTGTGTAAATACACCACATTTTTGTTAACCACTCTTCAGTTGAAGGGCACTTATGTTGCTTCCATCTCTGAGCTATTGTGAAAAGAGCAGCAAGAAACATGGTTATACAAGTGTCTACAATAGGATGAGTACTTTGGGTGTATTCCAAGGAGTGGTATATCCGGGTCATATGATAGGTTCATTTTTAGTTTTTTAAGAGTTCTCCACACTATTTTCCATAGAGGCTGCACAAGTTTGCAATCCCACCATCAGGGAATGAGCCTTCCCCTTTCTCCACATCCTGGCCAGCATTTGGTATCATTTGTTCTCTTGATCTCTGATTGGGGTGATAGATACCTTAGGGTGGTTTTCAGCTTGCATTTCTCTAATTACTAACGATGTTGAACACTTTTTGAGATGTTTCTTAGTCATCTTTCTTTATTTGAGAATTCTCTCTTTAGATCTTTAGCCCATCTTTTAATTGGGTCATTTGATTTCTTGATTCTTTGTTTTTTGAGTTCCTGATATATTCTGGCTGTTAAACCCCTGTCAGACATGTCATTATTGAAGATTTTTTCCCATTCTGTGGGTTTTCTCTTCACTTTTTTGATTCTGTCTTTTGCTGAAGCATTTTAGTTTAATGAGGTCCCACTTGTTGAT